CTCCCCTCCCCTCCCCTCCCCTCCCCTCCTCTCTTCTCTATAACCTGCTTTCTCAAGGAGCTGCGGTCTGTCTAGCAGGTCAGTCTGTGACAGACTCCCACCCCCTTGAGGTGGTGTTAGCATTTAATACTAAAAATGACCTGTACTATGTTTACAGTAACATGCCAATATCTATCATTTATGTTGAACAGTGTGTCTTTAACTTAAACCAATAGAAAGGTGTTACCATCACAGCAAGACATGGAGGACAAGAAGATGTTGAAGAAGGTCAGGACATGCCCAAATCCCTCTGTCTTGTCCCCTTGAACCGCTTACTTTAAAACCTTAAAATTCTACTTTTTCACCCCGTGTTAATTCAGCTATCACACTACTCAAACCGTCGTGGCTTGTATATCTTCACACAAAGCTGTCATCTTTTTCTGTGGGCTAAAATCAAAGCCTCAGGTGTTTTTGACTTCACACAAGGTCTCTGAGCCCCCTACCAGGGTCTCGAGACAGCCAGGGCAGTCAGAGGGATGTCCTGGGTTCCCACAACATACAACACAGACTGTGAATGATCAGCCACAGTATGGAAACACATTTCTCCTGCTTCTTAATACTCCCAGATGATGAGATAAAGAGTGAGATTGAAATTAATTACTTTAGCATAAGTAACTGTAACTGTTTGCATGACTCATTATGTAAGTTATAGTAATGTTCCAGTACTGTATGAATATAATTATCAGTGCTAAAATAACAAAAAGAGCCTCTAATTAGAAAAAAAAGAATGAATAAACACAACACTACAACTTCCATGAAGGTCAAGGAAGTAGAAAAATATATCTTGGACATCAACTTCATGGACACCAGCAAATATTAGTAATTGAAAGAGTAAAAAAATCACCAAATATTAACTAGCATTGCTTCATGGACTTTCTAATCAGACTATAAAACTTTTAACAGTGTTTGAGAGAGTGCCTCAGTCCTCATTTTTCACATACTTGAAACTATCTAATCAATTTAGTTACAGCTTTCTAAAGGACTGGAATAATATAAAGTATGCTTATCACCTTTTAAATATCTCAGATCAAGTATTTCTGCTAAATTTCCTGTTAAGAATTATGTAAATCAAAAATCTGATGAAACTATCATAGGAATTATGTAGGCCTATTTTTATAAACAGTACCTTGGTTCTTTGAAGATTATTATTCTATTAAAGATAAGTGTTCAAGGATGCAGTATAATGCTAAACGGATAAGTAGATATAGGTTGAGATTTTCTGTAGGTGAATGTTCTGATAATAAGTTTGTATCACTAGCTTCTCTGGCATTAAATGATCTTGGTGTATTTTATCTATTCCTTCATTA